GACAGCTAGAAAAAGAAAACCCGCGCTCTACGCCTGCGCCGAGCGTGTTTCTAACAGCTCTTCCGAAACGAGTTTGTTATCATTTGGATCTCCTTTATTAAGATTAAACCGCTATAATCTATGCTTTAAATTATCCTTAACATCACCTGAAATCTGCATTTTAGTTAATTCAAATCGTGTTACTGTATAAATCCTGAAAACACTTGTGATCTGGCTGTCTCTCTTTATCTATATTTTCTTAATTCCCTTGCAGCTATGACATTGTGCTCCTTGTCTCTGCTTTGCCTGTGGCCTTTTCCAGCCCTTTCTCTGCCTCTCCTTACATATATTTCTCATTCATTTCCTCTCGCCCTCTTTCACAAGTCTCACTCTCTCTTGTTCCATTGCTTTGTCTCTGTCTGTCTCTTGCACTCCATATTGTTCTCCTCACTTCTCTCTGTCTCTCTCTCTCTCACTCGTTATCTCTCTCTGTCCCCTTCACTTTCCCTCTGTCTTTTTCTCTCTCACCCCTCTTAATCTCTCTCTCTCTGTTATTGTTGTTATATTCCATGGAATTTGGTTTTCATGCGCTTACTTTTAGGCTGGAATAAATTAAACTTTAAGTCTATTAAGCCGCAGTCAATCAGCAAGGACAATATTTTTGCCTTTTCGCCATTTGCTGGAAAATTAAAACTGCCCACAGACAACAACACGCACAAATGAAACCATTTACATATTCCTTCCTTCTTTTTTTTCGCTTTTCATTTTTATACCCTGAACCCATTGAAAATGAGCAATTAAGGTATAATGATTTTATTAAAATGTACGTAACAGACAAAAGGATTCGTTGATACTTGATCAGGACAACAAGCCGAGTTCCGTATGTTAGCATCAATAAGAGTTAGAGACAATATTTTTTGTAGAACGTTTATTTTATACTCATATATATAAGAAAACAGCTGAGAAATAATATAATATATATATACATATATATATAACAAGAAGAGTCAGTATGGGTCTTTGTTTGCGTTTGTCTGTCAAAGACTATAAAGAAGATTTTGGTTTTAATAAATGAAAAATTAATAAATATATATGTATATAAATATATTTATTTATTTATATATATACATATATATAAAATTTATTTATGACCAGCCTGATTCACAGTTGCCTATATAGTTGCATATATTTATGTGTCTTTCATATCGTATAAAATGAGTAAACAACTAATAAATGTGCTCAACAGCAGCCAGAAAAAATACACATATATATGGAGTATATCTGTATGGCATATATATTCCCGATGAGAATGATAGGTTGTGTGTATATACATAGCTCTGTCTGTTAGTCTTTCGTTCTGCCTCCAACTTCATTCCAAATGAGTGAAAACTCCCACTCAAAAAGGGCTCTAGAGCTCAGCTGGAGTTGAGCGACTTTCGGGTATAAAAGGGCGAGCAGCGGCTGTGCACGATCAGTCAAGTTCAAGACCTGGACTAGGTCAGTCGTTGTGCAGTTCAGTGAAAGTGGTGAATAAATTTAATTTAATTTGTTAAATTGTTTAAGTAAAATAAATATTGTATTTGTTTAAATAATTATATTTAAGGTTTTTCTTGTTTAATAAATATTTAAATATATTGTTAAGTTTAAATTGTTTAATTGTTAACAATGTAAAATATTTAGTATTTACTCTTATTTATTGTTACTAAACACTTATTGTTATTATAATAATGAAGTTTGTCATAATGTTCATTAGCGATAATGATTATTAAGAGTAATGATCTTTTAAGTACATAATAATATATGTACATGATTATAACTGGTAATTATCATTAACGATAATGATCATATCATTTTTAAATTAAGATTCAAATACCAATGCTGCCATGTTCTCTTTCAAATTGTTTAGTACTAAGCTTGCAAAATGTTCTCAGTGTTTGTCATAGGCAGTAAATCTGTTCTCTTAATTTTAATTTTTATAACATTATATTTTGCACATGTATATTAAATATTTAAAAAGAAGAATTTATAAGTGTGTTATATATATAAGTGTATTAAATATATAAATGTATTAAATATATAAATGTATTAAATATATAAATGTATTATATATATAAATGTATCATCTATATAAATGTATATATAGATGTATTTAATATATTAAATAGCAATAGCGTGTACAAATGTTTGCTAAATAAGATTTTGATGTATTACAAAATTAATATTTATGACAATTTTCTCTCTTTAAAAATAGAAAGATTGTCTAAAATAAATAAAAAAAAATTGTAAAAAATCAGAAAAAAAACGGAAAAAAAATATATAAAACAATAAATATATTAATATTTATGCCTATATTTACTATGTACCTATATAATATATATTTATACTTATATTTAATGTCCCAAACGAATTATTTATGTGTGGTGTTCGAGTCTCGTTTTAACCTAATGTCTTTTATTATTTACCCTTTTTTTTAAATGCTCGATACAAGCTTTGGAAAATATTAAAAAACGCAGATAGGACTGGATTCAGGATATCTCCTAGTCGGGCACCCCGACTACAGCTTTCATATTTTTTTTTTGTTTACAAAAATTTGTTGTTCTTAATTTCCATTTATTCTGTTTTTTGCTTTTTTCACTTTGGCACTGCCAAAATAAACTATCCATGAATTTATGTATGCGAGTGAGAACGCAACATGGGAATTTGTTGCCGTTGCTGAACGCAGGCCCATTTTCATTGTTCCGCCCCCGAAACCCTATGTCAGAAGTTCGGTTTGGCAGACACCAAAAAAAAAAGAGGAGCAAACAATGAAAATGCTCGCAATGAAATGCATTGAAAATTGAAAATCAATGAACTGTTATAATAACTTGCTGCAGCGTCAGAGGACTCCTTGCATATCTATCTGCAGCTTCAGCCACGTATGCGTGGATATGCAACATATGTACATATGTGCTCGCATGGATATATATATATATACTTATTGGTAGGTACGTAAAGACCCTTAAATGCATATGTGCAGAGAATGAAAAAGAGAGAGAGGGAGATTCAGTCAGCGGAATGCACAGACAGCGGCGGCTTACTCAGCTACACTGCGACAAAAACTTAAGTCGAAGAAAGGCATTAGCAAACTATATTTATTTATAGCGATATCGATTCGTCTATGTTAAAATTGCATGTATTACTAGACCTATCAATATCTATATATATTACGAATACACGGTGAAGCTGCTCCCTAACTTGTTGCAGTGCATAATTTTTTGGATGCTGCTGCGGCTTTCGGACTGCCTCGCACTGTGGCTGTGCAAATGGAAGTGGGAAACAGTTGGAATGTGCAATTGGGACAAACGGAATGGGTCATGTGTTGCACCGCCACCCACTGATAACTCGTGCGTGCAACGCTCTTCATTAAACATATGTATATGCATTGGCTTACGAGAAGTTGCCCCAACGAACGGCCCTTTCGACCCCATCCCGCTCACCCGACACCGCGCAGCTCAACTGCTCCAATCGCATTGTGAATCGGATGCAACGATTAAAAATTAAATGTTGTCGTATTAACAAACAAGCTACACCCGTTGCCAGCAGTGGCAGTGGCATCTTCGACCACAGAATATTTGCAATAAAAAAGACGTTCGACGGCCGGGTGGGGCCTGGCGGTAGCTTGACTGACTTTCTGTATTGAAGTATGCCGAGCTGAAAATCCTTTTGTGCATGTAAAATGCATGAAGGGCTGGCGCGGCGGACGCGCAACGTGTGAAATTTATGCACATATGTTGAATGCATTTAAAGCAAAGAGAAGACAGAGAGAGCTAGTCAAAATGAGAGAGAGAAAGGTAGAGTGCAACGGACACTGCAGTTGCAGTGGAGTCCATAGTGCCAGACTGCCAACATTAAGACTCTCGGCTAGGTGATCAAAATTCATGGAAAATCAAGCAAAGCGCGCATATATTTCGGCAGCAGCGGAAAAACGAAATAAAAAAATATGAAAATGAAATTGTTGGAAAATTGCAATGGCAATGGCAATGGGACTGGCACTGGCACTGGCACTGGCACTGCCAATGGCCATGGCAATGACTGTGTGCAACTGCAGAGCAAGGCAAGAGTGCCACGAAGGCAAGGCACAAGATGTAGCAGGACGTTCAGGCGAGTTAAATGAGTTGGAAATGCATTTGGCTTGCATGACACTTGGCATGGGCAAAGCTAATGGCCAAGAGCATAGCTGCTGCTGCTCATATTGATGCTACTGCTGCTGTTGTTGCTGCTGGCAGTCATTAAGGCCAAAAAATATGCTAGCCCCGTCCTTGTGTTTGAGGCCGCTGATGAATTGCTGCCACTCACCCGAGCTCCTCAAGTTTTTCCAATCAATTAACAATCAGAAATCTTTCCTTCTTTATTTTTAAATTGTTCAATTGCCATGACCCAAAGGGCCGCCAATGGGATCCTCCACTTGCATCATTAAGACCCAAAAAAAAATATTGTATAAATTCAAGTTTTTTATTCTCCAGTATAAATAAATAAAGTGTAAAGTCATTTCGCTTGGCAGTCGAATAAATAAATAAACAGCGCATCACAAAAAAAGGCAGGTAAATTATACTAGCTGAAGCTCAAGCTATTGATAGAGTCCCCAACTAGAGAGAGACACGCTTGGCGCTCTATTTAGCCGGCTTGTCGATTTGTCACTTTCACTTGACAAGTATTTCATTAGCCTAATTTTTGTTGGCAATTCGCTGTTTGATTGCAGATCAAAGACTTGCTAACACCCCCTCAACACAGCAAACTAAACGCTTGGCCGACTGTCACACGAGGCGTATGCGCAATGTTGCTCTTTCAGCTTTTATAGCGTGTGCCTTTATGCTCATATAATGGCCGTAATTGACGTTAACTTTTGTTCACTCCGCTTACGACTGTAATTGTGTTATATTTTCCATGTTTAACCCAATTTCATAATATTCAGGGAAATTATTGGATATGTTTATCTATAAGTTGGACAGTTGGAGAAATATGGAAAAAACTCTCGATTCTGGGAAATTTAAGTTCAATTTAATTCTGATTAATGAATTTCTGACTACAAATTCTACTTTACGTCTGGCTTTAAATTTAGTTTTACAGTTTTAATATATTTTGCTATCGAATAAAATCTTGATCATCATTAAAAGGAAAGCGGTTTCAGATTTCAATTATGGATTTGATATCGAGTACATCCTGACCTTGATTTTGACATTTACTGCAAAAGCACATTGTGTTGCCTTGTTGCGGATGAGTAGGGGTAATTGGCTGCTCTTCGGCCAAATAGGCCTTCACTGCCGCCTGCTGGTTGCGGAACATGGCTTGGATTTGCTGTTTCAGCTGCAGCACATCGCCGGTAGGAGACGGCGGTTGGTCATCGTCGGGTTGGGGCTGCCCTGCGATCTCGGTAAGCTCAACTGCACCTACCTCTGCTGAAGGTTGCGGGCTGCTCAAATAGCGTTGTGATTCGTGTTCACCGGCTGGACGGCGTGTCTGGCGACTGGCCTTGAACGGTGGCACCGGGTGAGACATCGGAGCAGTCTCTCGTGTGGTACTCAATTCGGCAAAGCATTTGGCCATCCTTAACAACTCGTTGCTGTCGCCGGCAATGAGTGCCCCGGTATCAAAGTACCAGGGTATATTGGCCTTGCCAAATGCCGACTCCAGCAGCATATAGTTGTGCATCGAATCATTGACGTTCGCTGGACGATTTATGATCAAAACGCTGGCCAAAGTGCCCGGGCGCAGTTTCCCCATCAGACGACACCAGACCACACCATCGCTGAGATCCTTTAGCTTGTGGCAGCGGGGACTGTACACCAGTCCCTTGACCCACTGCATCAGCTGTTTCGCCTCGCTGTTCTCGTGGCCATATGATACTGCAATAAAGTCAATCGTCAATAACAAATATCGAGTGCTGCACAAGACTCACTGCTCCGCATGACGAGGTAGTTTCTTCATACAAATAAATTTGTGTTATTCAATTGCTATATTACAGACGTTTTAATGTGGCTTGCTTTGTTCGAAGTGAAGAACTAGACGTAATCTTCATTAACAGCAGCTCTGCCTCAAATCTCGCTCTCCCTTTCAACGGGTTCCTCTGTCTGTCAGTTAACACATTTACGTGGCCAGTGACCAATTGGCCAATAGGCCCAGTACTGGATCGCACTTAACTTGATTACAATGGGTCAATTTGTCTTTTCACAGCCAGCTAGCTGCCAGTTAAAATCAAATGAATAGCACATTGTACACGTTTTGATTGGAGTGAATGTGCTTCGAATCCGAACAGCACCCAGTGCTCAGCACTTTGCAACAATTCATTAAATTTATGTGTGAAACATTTGTTTTAATCATTAGAAATTTTATAGCTTATAGAAGTAGACTTTAGTGTTAAATTAATTTTTGCTCTCAAGCTTTTCAATGAATACTCACAGTAGTGATTCATAACTATTTTAGTTTATTAAAATTTGTGATTCATTAAGTTTCATTCATATAAAGTTCATTCATATAAATATATACTCATATAATATTCATTCATCTCATTTGAAAGTAAGCTTAAAATATATTCAAATTCTTTTACCATAATTTCTTATTCATTAAGTTTATTCATATAATTATTCATACAAAATTCAGTTATTCAGCTCATTTCAAAGTATGTTTTATATGTATTCAAACTTCTTTTACTATAATTTCTTATTCATTAAATTTATTCATTCACTTATATATTAATTCATATGATATTCATCATTTATTCAGCTTATTTCAATGTAATTTTTAAAAATATGTAAATTTCTTTTACTACAATTTCTTATTCACTAAATCTCTTCATTCATTCATATATTTATTCATTTGATATTCATTCATTTAGCTCATTTTAAAGTAAATTTATCTATTAAAATGCACTGCAAAATAATTTGACATACACGCCCATACCACATCTACACGCCCACAGTTACACACTCCCGCTCCCGCTCCCACACCCACACACACACACACATCCGTCTATTTACTAGTTTAGTTTATGTATATGTACTGACTCTGAGGAATCTCTTGTATATTCTTTGTGCTTCCTGTGGCTTACTGCGCTGACTGTGTTTGTGGTCAAGGCGACCCCATTCCAACTCCCGTTGCCATGACCATTGCCAGTGCCAGTCCCAGTTCCAGACCCGGTCCCACTGGTGTTACCATGTCCAATCCCCCAGTACACATTGCCATTTGCTGGCAGCATGCAAATGAACGTTGGCCGGATACGGCACGTGCTCTCATCGGCTTCTCTCCTTTGGGGCGGTTGCCGTCACCTTTATGCGGCCATTCCGTTTCGCCAGTGGCCGAGGCAGAGCGGCAGCATCAGTTAGCCAGGTCTTGCTCGCAGTTGGACATGGCGCAGTGTTTCGTTAGAGACGACGCCATCCTGTTGCAGGATGTGGTACGGTTACCTGCGCTTCCCAGCGCACACAAATAAAATGCAAACAATGCTTGTTTCATTTGCGTAATAAAATATTTATACAGGTATTTAGTTAGGCGGACTCCAACAAAAAAAAAGGAACAACCGCGCCGAGCAAACGAAAATTAAGCAAAATGCCACGAAAAGAAATGGCGAAAATAAAAAAGCCACCAAAAAAAATGAAAAAAAAAAACATGAAATAAACGAACCCAAGGAAATAGACAGCTGCCCGCGGATGTGGCAGCAGCAGAAGCAAAATGTTAGCCAAATGAACAACTTTAATAAAAAGCTGGCAATCGCTTTGATGCTGCTGCTGTGTGACCCATTGTTTTGGGCGAAAACAAAAAACGTCTAGACGTCATTTCTCAGTCGAGAGTCGCTCGAGCGTCCTGCCCCACTCCACCTGCCATAGACTGCGCCTCGTCCTGTCGCTGCTCGCGATATGTTAGATAAATCAGCACGCGCTGCGATTTGCGCAGACCTCACAGGCCGCTGCAGTCGTAGTTATCCTGGAGAATTATGGCCATGACGTGGATATTGCTTTCATTTATCATTGCTCCAACATTAACCAGCCAAGCGCCCCCCGAACTGACCGCACAAACTGAATGGAACTACGTGTCACGCTGCTCAACTCTGCTTTGCTCATCTCAATAAACATATTGTCTTTATCTTCATGATTTTTCAATTTGATTAAAGCTCTTTTCGTTTCTCAACTTTTTTCGTTTCCGTCTTGGACACTTCCTCTAGGGACCATAGCCCAACGATCTGAGTTCTTCATCATTATTGAGTCGAGTTAGAAGCATTGTGTTTTTGTATCCAGCTCAGTTTAATTTTCATTCAAGATTTGAACAGTTTCAGCCACTGTTTCGTTAAGTGAATACTAAAGTATTTCGTATGCCTCGACTGTGCTAAGTGTTGCTGGCGTTTTGCTTCTGGCTGCAAATGGTTTTCCAAATTCCAGGTGAGCCGAAGTGGTTATCTTGGCCGGGCTGTGCACGTTGGCTCTTTGAATAGGACGGCGGGCGGCTTTGACTGCAACGTGCTTTATCGCAGAGACGCTAATTAATCTGTGACGCCTTCAACTCCATTGTTGCGACTGCTGCATCTTCGTGCAGGTCGAACTGGTGGCATGGCCCCGTCAGTAACCCCGACGCACCTTCCCTCTGCTGCCTTTGCGATGCTGTAAACATTTTTAACACGTTTTTGCGAAACGGAAATTCTTCTAATATTTTTACATAATTTTTTGTACGACTACGGTTAAAGGCGGAGGCAGCGACGACAACGACAACGACGACCGCAATGACAATTAACAAAATAAACAAAATGTAGCAAAAAATTTGAGTCACTGAGTGAGTTGTAGGCTGTGGGGTATATGCCACTTAAATGAGTTAAGGGACTGCGATGGGCCACACGGGCGTGAGGGGTGATGGGTGATGGGCGAAGTGTTCGGCACTCGCATCGCAGGAGTTGACATTTGCTGGACGACGGGTCGGGGCCTCAGCCCGACTTGCCGTGGCACACAAACAGCGCATTTTAATGTGCGGTCAACAGTCAGCCAACGTCTAAATTTGAAATGTCAGCGTTGTCAACGGCAATTTAGTCGCAACGCGGTGACAACTCCAACAACACATAACAGCAATAACAACAACAACGACGACAACAGCAATCAGAATGAGTAGTTCATTTTTTTGGGGCGTCGTTGTTTGAATACACTTCTATAATTAAAATGGGTATGCAAATATGTGGACTAAGTCAATGTGAGTTTATGTTCTGAAACATATCATTTTGTAATATAGGATTTAACAAACGATAATCTATCGGACATGTGCCATAAGCATGCGAGCTAGAAACATGTAAGTGCTTATGCATTGGCTTTTTTTTTTAGTGTTTTACAAGTTGAAAGTATAATAAAGTAAAATAATATATTTTAAATATCAACAAATTATACTTTGTTGAATAGAAAATTTTATGACATTAATGTTTAATTATACTTTTGATCGTGTAATTACCATGGCTAGTATATAGAATGCTGTTTTGACAAATGCTTCTGGACTATTCTCAATACAAATTCAATTCTTCATAAAACGAACGATAAAATTTTGATAAGAATTTTAATAATTTTTAAACATTGCAATTATAATAAGATGTCAAGCCAAACTCAATAAAATAAAACTATCAGCTATCAGCTGTTAAATCGGCTATCAATTAGGAATGAATTGCCAGCTCAAAGGTGTATAGCTCTGAAATAAACACCCTTTACATAGTATATAACATATATATAATACACATAATATTTACATACTATATACATACATTTAAATACACTAATCACTTGTTATTATGATTCTATATTATGACATTAATCTGCTTGTCAATCCTGATTAACTGACATTAACTGACTAGGGACAATGGGAAGAGCCCTACATATAAATAAGCAAAAACATATATTTTTAACTGATTTGCTCTAATAATATTATACAATTTATGCTAATCACTACAGAGATACTTCAGATTTTCGACACTTGAAGCAGTCGTGGATCAAGACGTTTTGAACTGATCTGTAAAGAACTTCCACAGTCAACTCAATTTCTAACTCTTAAACTATTTTTTACATATTTTAATTTAGCAGCTCGCAGCTGTAGCTACAATAGCGTCACTTGCCACGCCCACAGTGGGCGTTTACATATGTAAGTCAGCTAAAAAAGTTTCAAGTTTCGTTTGCAAAGATTTGGACAGCAAAGGGACATTCCTCAAAACCAATATACACTTTTATATTTGCTGAAAGCATAAGTATAAGTGGCACAGCCTGTTGCAACAAACTTTATGTGTTGCTTGTGTTGCAGTTGGAGTGAAGCAGTTGAGATGGCCAAACGTGTAGAGCATTCGAAAAGCTGCAACACATTGCACAATGTTGTTGATGCTCGCAGTTGCTTGTTGCTTTTTTGTTTGCTGTTAGCTGCTTGCTGTTTGCTGCTTGTTGGCTTTGTTTTTTGCGTTGACAACATTTACACTTGTACACAAATAATGCATAATACATAATAATAATTACGAAAAGCTTTCAAATGCTTTGTTTAAATGTTTTGGTCGTCGGATTTGGGCACAAGCTGAGGCCTTGACGCAAGCACGAAAATGTGGCATACGGCATGCGGAATGCGGCATGCGCGGCATGCGTCATACAACATGATGCATGTGACATAAAGCATGGGCATGAGTTTGCTTAATTCACAGTGTCTACAGCATCGCCCATTGGACCCGAGGGCCCGGCGAAGGGTCGACCCGGTAGTTGTGTTGTGCAATCTCCTGACTAAGCACTATCTTATTGTTATTATCTAATATCGTTTTCTTTGTGTTTGGCCAGAGACCTTGGCCAAATAATGGCCATCAAAAGTTTGTTTAGCTTTATTGAAGATTCTATAAGCACTTAAGATAAAAGCAAACCTTATGTGTACGACCTTATGAAGATGCGCCACATAGCACTGAACTCTGCACCTGAATGATGATTTTATTTAATTTATACACAGGTATGCACACCTTTGAGCTGCTTAAAAACTATTTTTTAGTGTTAGCTGGA